AAGACTTTCATAAAAGTGCTTATAAACATACAATTTAAATCTTTTTCAACAGGGGTTTCATTAGGAGTGAATTTATTGATATCTCTTTATTAACTAATAAAATAGGATACATAAAAGAAAATCCTGTGCCAGGGAGATAGTTCAGCACTCTAAATATCTGCCTGGCAAGTGCAAAGACCAGGGTTCGATCCCCAGGAGGGCATGCTATGCCGACCCTGCCCCAAGCCCACCAAAGTGGACACTGAAACTGGGCCTAGTAGCACACATCTGTAATCCCAGCACTGGGAAAGCTGAAACAGTATGATCACTACAAGTCTGAGCTGCTTAGTGAGACCCTGTTGCAAATACATATTTTAAAAAAAGAAAATTCTGACAAATGCATAACTAACCCATACTAGGATACTTTAGTAGTTTTCTGAATTGTCAGAGTAGCTTAGAATATTTCATTTGAGGTATAGAACCAGACAGTCAGTGCCACATGATTGTGAACTAAACAGTTTTCTTTGGCTTTCCTCCGCATCTTTTTTTGAACTCCTACTGTTCTTCTTCCTCTGGCCCATGTGTTGTTATAGTACACTTTCACTGTTCTTAAACTGGTGAAAACTTACTAATACTCTTTGCATAAGGTGCAACTGCTTTCCAGTGTGACAACTATTTTTCCTTGGCTATTTTTTCTATTTTAAAGAGAAAAAACTTTCAAAACAAGATAATAGGAGAGTAACAATGATTAACATATTGCATATTGTTATCTTTCAGTTAATTACTCAGAGTACAAGATATAGGCATTTACTTGTCTAAACAATTTGGCATAAACCTTTCTTTTCAACAAATTAAGAGATCGCGGTTTCTTTCCATTTTACAGTATCTATAGTACATTTTGCATCTTGTTTACTCTTTCCACTTTTCACACTAGGGAGACAATACGATGTTTGATTCTGGTTTATTTTATTTATGACTGTGGTCTTGAGTTGTATCCATTTACCTATGAAAGTCTCCTGTATATCCTTCTTTGTGGCTGCGTAGTGCTCCATTGTATAAAAAGACCACATCTTTTTTATCTTTTCCTCAGGTGATGGTCATTTGGGTTCTTTCCAAGATCCAGCTATTACAAATTGAGCTGTTACAAAACATGGGTATTGTGGTATAATGTTTTTAATTCTTCTGGGAAATACCCAGCATTCCTTAGCTATTATATACAGCCTTAATGTGGAACTTGTACGGACAATGTCAAAAATTTTTTCATCCTATTTTCTATATAAGCTCTCTGACAAAAGAAAATTATGTTGAGATTCTTGTATGCCTGACTACCCAAGTCTCTTCTGTTCCTGGTTACAAGTCCCACTGGCAATCCTGAGAGGAGTTAAAGTGACATTCTTTTATTTCTTAAGCCATAGGATATTATTTAAAGTTTCTAATACTAGAAGATATTATACAATGTCTTTTAAATAAATTGTAAGTCAAAGATATAGTATAAATCTTAGAACAAAACTTAAGATTAAGCACTATTCAGAAAATTAAATACTAATTAAATGTTTCAAAACAATTGAACTAAGAAAAAGTTTTCATGATAGCAAAGAAGTACTAAGAGTAAAACATAAGATAAATACTGGAATAGCAAGTA